GTCATGTAGCAACCAATCAGATTCAGCCATGATTTTAGCACGACATTTCGTAGTAAATTTTGCTATTAGGGAACTTGTTTCCTCGGGCTGCTCTCATTTTAGCATCGACGTTTTTGTATACGCTAAAGATCTTCAACGAACTTAGTTGGCCAGTAGGCCAGACCTGCGATCGTGTGCCTGGCGAACGTTTTCTTTACCAGACCCCCACAAGCTAGCAAATGTTGATACGAGAGCCCTTGCCTGCAAACCTCGAAAATCGTTATTCAATTGATCTTTTATTATGTGTTTGCGATGAAACAAAACGCTTGCCCTTCTTCACACGTCTGTCGGACGACAGCTGGTAGACTCAACATCGGTTATTCTCGCACAGAAAGGCGCTGGAATCTGATGCGCATTTTTTATGTGGGAATGACGGAATAAATTGAAGAAAAGTGAGACATCGAACAGTGCAAGCATGAGGTTTGACGAATGGATCTTGTATTGTTTGGCTCTATTTGTTACCCTCAAAAGATGGCACATTTAATTTTGTATGAAACACATTTTTGGAAAATCGTAGCAAATCAAGCCATGACAATTCAGACCTTATTCAGTCAGTAACGGGCCAGGTTGTCTCTTGTCTGTCAGGGTCTGCGGGGTGAGCAGGCTGATTGTTTACTTTTTGTCACCTCCAGTGCTGCCTAATACATGACTATGAAGGTCTCCGGCGGTTTAAAAGGGGTCTTTCAGTTGCACGGTCTTCTAGCACATTGAATTTTCTAACACGTTTTATCCAGAACTCCGACTGGTACTTTAAATATTAACTCGCTATCTATGCGTACTTTAATTTTAAAATTAGTTCACAGTGTAGGTAATAGCGATGTTTAAACACAATACTTTCTTGAAAAAACGGTCTTATTTTTATGGTACGTATCTGGAAACTTTGAAACTTCATTTTTTTAGGACCACAGCTATTTACCGGCTGTCGTGAATCTAACAGATGCGGACCATAGTGATCTTGGCATTATGTGCGTTTTCGAACTCCAGCCGGATTCACCTCGCGAAGTCATCCCATCTGTGAGTTTTTTGTTGCCATGTTTTTAAGTTGATGATGGTTTCCTGCTAACCAGCGTATTCCTTTCAAGTGGGATTTAGACAGAAAAAAATGGACTAAAATATATACCCTCCGTTTTTAACACAGTGTTATTGGCTGACTTCCCGAAAACGTCTTTTGCTTTTTTGTGTAAACCATAACTTTCCTGTTCTTATCGCGAACCATATTTTTCCAAAGGGTTCGCGAACATTTAATTATCCTTTCCCTATCTATTCTTTCACTATCTATATCCTAATGAGTGGCGTTAAACGTTTAAATGGAACCCTGCCCCAACCAATTATGTTGGAAAGCTACTTTTTACAAAAACAAATTCTGTGTTGAGTAAATCTGCTTCATAGGCTTATATACATCAACCACTCCATCTTGCTACGTTTAATTATAGGAATTTTCTACGTGCACGGATCGCTGTTAGCCGATTGAGGGTACTTGACGTCCTTTTTCCTCCATCAACAAAGGCCTAAAAGTCCACC